GGATTTTTTCTTTATAGGCAAGGGAAACAGCTCCGGATGGTAGACCCACCCACAAGGAAAAAACGGCGGGTTAATCCGCTCGTTTAAAATGGCGAATGGGAGGAAGCCACGCCTCCCAATAGTAGCCAGTGGAAGCCACGAGGCTCAAACAATGGCGGATCCTAACTGCCGCTCTGAACTCCTTATTATCCAGCAAGAAGGTAATTGCCGGTTTAAGTTGCTCTTTTTGGCCTTAAGGGGGCTGCGCCTCTCCGTTGAGGAGAAGAACGGCGCTGAGGCTCTGCCAGCCGGTCAGGACGTGCTTCTCACGCCGCTCAGCTGATTAATGCCGAGCGGTGCCGTGGCTCTGTTGGCCGCTGGGGCTGTTTTTCCCGCGCCGCCCAGCTGTTTAGCGCCGAGCGGCGCCTCGGCTCTGCCGGCCAAACGGAGTGGAGGTCCCGGCGCCACTCAGCTGTTTGGCGGGCCGGAGATCGGCGAGCGATCCGGTGACCGGCCCGAGCCCCCCTGGCTAGCCGCCCTGAAGATACTCTCACCACTCCGACGATCCTGGATGGGTGTCCGGTAATGGCTCCGAGTCAGCTGCCAGTAATCCTTGCTTGCTAATTCAGAATCTGGAAGAGGAGATTTTGTCTCTTTTTTGGGGGTGAAATTATTTCTTTTCTAAGAGCTGATTCTCGCACTTCTACCAGGCTTTGAGACTGAGTCAAAACTGGGGTCACGCCCAAAGGAAGGGGTGTGGCCAAAGTTTTTACCCAGTCTGCCGGGCAGGAAGGCTGTCATAGAACCCATCCATTGGACTCTACAGCCATCCTGCTGGAGAATAAGGTCTCACAAAAGTACGTAGAAGGAAAAATTGTGAGTAAAGCTGTTGCTATATTTTTCAGGGTGCTAAAAGTGTCTGGTAGTCTGTTCCAGGCACTCCAAATTTCCTGTTCGTAGTGGCACTCATCTTGATTCTCCAAGTGGCCCCTTTCCAGATTCTCAAGCTTTGACCTCAAGTCGACAAACACCTGAGCCCAGATGCTGTCTTGAAATTCTGCAAGCTGCATCTCCAAATCATCTATTTGCGTCCATTGGAAACCATTTAATTCCAAACTATTGTAGACTACTACATCAGGATACTTAATTATTCTCATGGTCTGTTCTAGGCTTCTAAATTGACTAAATCTATCAGTAAACTGGTCAAGTAACGAGTCTAAAACATGCTGGCACTTCATATGCAAGAGTTCCACTTCATTTCGTACAGCTGCACTGGCCTTCTCAAAATGCTTTTGTACTCGAGGAAAATACTTATACGTTTTAGTTTCTACATCTCGCTTGAAAATTTTTACTTTACTTTCAAAAGCTTTTATGTATCCAAACATAACATCAATACTTTTGCCAAAATCTTGTAACTTTAAGTTCAGTTCATTAACATGAACAGAGAGATCTGTAAAAAACATCAGGGTGTTGACCCACTTATCATCATTGAACTGAGGAAAGTTTCCCAGATCCTTATCTTCAAGAAATACCTTAATTTCTTCAAAGCACTCCACAAAGCGCTCAAGAACCTTGCCTCGGCTCAGCCATCTTACATTATTGTACATCAGCAGTCCACTGTAGGTGGAATCAACCTCCAGTAAAAGTGCTGAAAATTCTCGCTTGTGAAGGGGGCGAGCAGCTATTAAATTAACTATTTTTGTAACAACTGACATTAAGTCATTTAAGTCAGTGAATCCTGCCTTGGCACATAAAGCCTCCTGAAAATGAAAAGGCACAATCGGACGTCCAATAGCTTCTGTAAACAATTTCACAAATCCAACTTTTTTCCCCACCATGTTTGGGGCACCATCTGTCGTCACTGACACAACTTTAGAGATATCAATGCTTAGGTCGCAGAATGTTTGCATAACAACCTTACATATTTCGCTTCCTGATGTATTTGTTGGAACTGATACTAACTTTATCAACTCTTCTCTCATTGTGTGACTATCAGAATATCGACCAATAATGGCCAACTGAGCATGTGACATGATATCAATAGTTTCATCAAGACAGATGGAAAAATATTTACAATTCCTTATGTCTCTCTTTAATTGATGTTGTACGTTTGTGTTCAGTCTCATTATTCGGTCTTTTATGATATTTCTACTGAGTGGTAACTCAGATATTCTCTTAATAATTGCATCTTTATTCTGCATATCGTGAAATAGAAGTGGCGCACATCTTAGGAGAGTTTCTTTAATAAATTCTCCCTCATTAAGTGCTTTTGCATGCTGAGCTATGGAGTGAGCAATGCTCAAACTTGCAGATGTTAAATTTGTACAGCCTTTTATAAATTTAAGGATGGAGTTAGATTAGCTCTTATAAAGGTGTAGCTTCCTGGAAATGTATTCCTTCCTTTCATCCTCACTTTTTTCCAAGAGCTGGGAATGATTAGTTTCAAAATGTCTATTTATATTCCACGTTCTGCTTACTACCGTTTCAGTACATAGAACGCAAAATGATCTGCCATTTTTTTCTATAATACCATACATCTCGCTCCATGTCTCTTGAAAGGGTCGGCCACTGCTACTACCACTCCCTTTACTTAACCTTTGTTTTTTATTTTTTGGGTGCTCCATCAGTGGGCCAGTGACAGCAGATAGAATTATAGATAGCTTGTTAGCCAATTAGGGGTTAACTAGCCTAACACAGCCTCCCCCTCACTTATCTCAGTTATTGTGGGCAATTACAAGTCCATGGCACCCCCATAGTTGCTGCTAATGGCGCTCACAGGTCCCCCTTACTGTATGGCACTCACTAATTGCGGCCTGACAGGAGAAAGGCGCGCACTGTTCCTGCGCTCCTCTCCTGAGGGTCCTCCCTAACGTACTCTCAGCCGTGCTGATGAAGTGTGTGCGCACGGCACGCACGCCTTACCAGCAGCCCCTGCGCTGATAAAGGGGCTGTGCCTGTGCTTGCCTGTCAGTCGGCGGCGGCGCAGGCTGAAGTTTGCGGCGGGGACACAGTGAATGAGTGAGTGTGGGTGGGAGAGATCACACATCCCGCCCCCCGTTCATCCAGCACAGAGCGTATTTCTTTCATCCTTCCTGGATCCAAGGCCATAGTGGTACGGTTGCTCTAGGGGGGCGGTAGTCATAATGGGAGAGTTTTAGTGGGTTCGAGTCCCACATAACCTAGTGACCCGCCAGGTATCCGTGGGGATTTCTCTTCCATGGCGAAAACAAAAAAAAAATTCTTTCATCCTCGGCGTGCAGGAGCCGAGGATGAATTGCATAAAATCGTATGAAATCCTGCGCGTGTCACCCCAAATGGCTACGCGTGTCAAACACGCGTGTCATAGGTTCGCCATCACTGAACTAAGCTATGCCAGCAACTCGGAGAACAACATGATGGCCAACAAAGTGGAAGAAGTCAATCTACATTCCAGTATTAAAAAGGAAACTTAACAGAGTGTGTAAACTATTGTACAATATCCTTAATTTCACACACTAGCAAAATCATCTTTCAACACAGATTCGAGTCCCACATGGAAAAGAAAATGCCAGTTGTTCAAGCAAGCTTTTGAAAAGGCCAAGGACCAAGAGACATTATTGCTGAAATATGCTAGATAATTGAGAAGCCCAAGAATATAAAAAGATGTCATTGTGTGTTTTTATTGATTATAGAAAGCACTTTGAATGTGCTGATCATGTTAAGCTATGGAAGGCACTTAGAAAAATCAGTATCCCAGAACGTCTCATTGTCTTATGTGAAAAGCCTATACAGGTAGTCCTCAACTTATGAGTACTTGTTTAACATTCATTCAAAGATATGAGGATACTGAAAAAGTGACTTGCAACCAGTCCTTGCACTAACAGTAATCACAGCATCAAAACTGAGGCACTTGGCATGCAGTTACAATGGTTGCAGCATCCTGGAGTAACATAAGCATTATTTGCAATCATTTTAGAGAATTAACAACAAGCAAAATCTATGGGGGAAGCTGGATTTGCTTAATGACCATGTGATATTTTTTAACAATTGTGGTGGCTTGCTTAATGACCATGGCAAAAAATGTCATAAAACTGAACATGATTCACTTAACGATGACATTGCTTAATGACAGTTTTGATCCGAACTATGATTGTAAATTGAGGACTACCTGTATACAAAACAGGAAACTACAGTGTATCATAGATAGTTGGGATCAAGAAACAGGCTGGGTTGACCAAGGAGAGAGTCAAAATTGTACAGTATCTTCTTCCTTATTCAAATTATGTGCTGGATATATATTAATGGAAACTGGATCAAAAGAAGATGATTATGAATCATAGCTGAAATGCATAGGATTTGCAAGATCTGATAATAAAAGTCCTCAACGAACAGTGAAAAAATGGGAATTAAATATAAAGAAAACCAAACTAATGACAACAGCCACAGAACTGACAATGAATATATCAAAACAGTAAACAGCTTTTGCTTTTTAGGGTCAATCATCACCAATAAAGGGGAAAAAAACAATCCCAAAATATACTCAGATTTGGTAAAGAGTCCTGAAAATTTTAGAAAAGATATTACATTTAATTTGCAGTACAGACAAGATGGTACCTTATAGTTGTCACAGTTGCCAAAGATTTAGTTCTTCTCACTGTGATACATCTTGTAGGTACAAATGGCACCACTGTAAAATAGCACTCTTTATTCCCAAATCACAAAAGTAATTCAGCAGATATTTTGGTTAAATGGCAGCAATAGCAACCAACCAAGGAAGATTATTCATTCGTGCAACCAAGAGTACCCAGAACTAGACTTCAACCACTCTCAAATATCTAAAATAAAATAATTTGGACGGGCTGTGTAACTATTTTCAAGTTGTTCAAATAAACTGAGGTGGAAACAATATTCACTAGTATGGTCTCTTACTCCCGCAGCGCTAGTAGCTTTCAGACATTCTTTTTGGCAAGTCAGTGCCTGAAATATATTGAATTTCCTTGGCAATAACTTTTACAAACCTTTACATCTAGAGCTCATCTTACCTGGCACTGGTTAATAGCTGCATGATTACCATGGAATGGAGACTGTCTTTCTTTATCACGGTGGTGTCTGCTGCTGTGTTTACTTCTTTGCAATTGCTGGCGTAACTTGGCAATCTGAAACGACAAATGTTTTGTTATTTCTTTTTTAATCTACCACAAAAATGTTGAGTTTTTGAATCAAACCTCACCTTAAGGGCTCCTGCTAACATTATTTTATCAGCTGCTTAGACAGAATAACATTCTCACTTGTTACCAACAAAGCAGAAAAGAGAATTTTAAAAAATGAAAATAATAAACAGCATCACCGAGTTTTTAAATTTTGTTTTCAAAAAGTATTTTAAAAAACCAACAAAGAAAACAATTGCTCAAATGCTGAGCAGCCACCGTGCCTCCAGCATTTCTGGATCAGACAATGCCCCAAAGAGGGAACTATTATATTAATGAAACCTGGGGAACACCAACACAAGCACACCTGCCTCAGTCTGAGAAACCAGAGGACGGATCCGATTCAAAAACACCCCCAAACTGTGAACATAGTCCTTCTGGGATATGCAAAACCATGTAGAATAGGACTTTCAGTTTTGTGGCATTTCTTACTGACTTGGATCCAAATTATATTCCAATGGTAGCAGCCTACTCTGCATGAAGCTCTGATACTATTGATGATTTGGGAGGATGATTTTTCCTGATTACCCCTTTGTTCATCATTTCTTTTGAGTTGGAAGGCTGCAGGGAAAAGTAATCACTGGCTTCAGTTTTATGAATAAGATTCACCCTACTGAAGCAATTCCTTTTCAATGGAAATTCAAATTTTATAATGCAGAAAGAGAATGTTTCTCATTGTTCTAAACTGTGAAATTGTTGGCATGTATAATTATTATACTAAACTATTATCAAGGTGGTAGAAAAACAGCATGTTTCTTCACCTCTTTGAGTTGGTCTGTGCTGCCCCAAGACGCCGAGCGCTTATGAGATCCCTTTTTCTTTTCCAAGTATTCTTCAGCCCAAGCACTCTCAGTCTTAAGAAAAAAGACAAAGGCAGTAGATTTAGGCTTATGATATTAAAATCAATTTTCTAAAGTTATTGATTAGGTTTTATTCTGTAATGTCCCTCAATATTCATAGAAAGCCAGTTTGGAGTAGTGGTTACGGCAGGGGTGTCAAACTTGATTTCATTGAGGGCCTCATCAGCATTAGGTGCCCTCAGAGGGTGGGTGTGGCCCACTGGGTGGGAATGGCTGTAGTGGTCACGGCTGACTTGGGCGTGGCCTGGGTGGATGTGACCATCTTGATATTGCTCATGGGGAGGGACACCTGTGGGGCCAGGCAGGGTTGGGGGAGATCAGGGGGGGCTCTGGCAGATGGGGTAGTGGCAGGAGGCTCATCCTGCGGTATAAGGTGAGACGAGGCAGGGGACAGTGTGGGGGTGCCGTTGCCCTGGGGCAAGGCAAGGCAGGGCAGGGGTTAGGGCTGCTGCTGCTTGACACCATCGGCCCCCGCACACAGAGGCCAGTGAGCACATGGGGGCCAATAGTGTCCATCAGCAACCACAGCCTGCTGGCCCCTTGACTGGTGCACTCTGGGGCTCCACAGCCCGCTGCGAATACTGGGCCAGCCCTCCAGCAGCAGACGGAGTAGGGGAGGGGGAGAGGCACATGCTACAGACCGCCAGACGCGCCTACTTTGTCCCCTGTTTTTGCTTGCGTTTGGACAGCAGGTGGCTGCTGTCATCTCAGCCACCTTGCAGATCTTGACTGCATGTGGAGCCTGTTCCCCTCGTTCACCCAACGCACCTTGGCCCCACCTCAGGCCGCTGCCACCAGCAGTCACGCAGGTCCATTAAGCTATCACTGCCGCCCAGAGCAGCAGGCCCACCCAGCACAAAGAAAGCAATGCGGCCAGCTAGGAAGCTCGAGTAGAGGTGATAAGAGCACTGCCATGCCCAGCAAGCAAAAGGTCACCCTGAGTGGGGAAAACCAGATCCCCATCGGCGCCATGTCCACCCAGTCCCAGCCACGATTGCGTGCCTCCCCCCCAAATCTCTGCTGGGCCTGGGCGGTCATGTTGCCAATGGAGATCTGGCTTTCCACACTCGGGGTGGCCTTTTGCCTGCTGGCCCTGGGCGTGCTCTACCACCTCTACTCGGGGCTTCCTAGCCGACCACTTCACCTTCATCATGCTGGGCGGGCCTGCAGCTCTGGGCAATGGCCTAATTGATCTGCGTGAGCACCTGGCGATCATGGCTGCGACAGGTGGAAAGCACTCCACCCGTGAGCCAAGAGCAAGACCCATGATGGGCTGAGGACATGACTAGTGGCAATTTGCTCTCCAACCAAAAAGAGATGGGACAGAGTAGGCATGTCTGGCGGTGTGCATCACATGCCTCCATTCCGCATGCTGCCAGTGCCACTGCTGCTGGAGTCCCAACCTAGTATTCACAGCAGGCTACATAGCCCCTGCTGCCAGACGCCGTCAGGCCCCACGCATTCACCGTCTCCTGTGCATGCACCTTGGGGGCCACCAGAGTGGGCAGGGCTGGGTCCAGGGCAGCAGGGGCCAGTCCCTCGCTATCTCCAGGGCATTCCTGCGGGCCAAATATCGGCCCATCGTGGGCCACATCTGGCCCACGCGCCTTGTGTTTGACATGTCTGAGTTACGGCATCAGGTTAAAAAATGGGAAACTGTGAGTTCTAGTCCTGTCTCAGGCATAAATCCAGTTAAGTGACCTTGGACCAGTCACTCACTCTCAAACCTGGGAAGAAGGCAACGGCAAGCCATTTTCAAAAATTTGCCAAGCAAACTGCAGGGACTAGTCCATGCAATCACCAGGAGTCAACACTGACTTGAAAGCATGCACACATAAAAACGAAAAAGGCATTTAAAAAAATCTGAAAAAATTATCTATTTTATAGTACATATACATATTCATAGGATAACTATTCATCTGATAATCACATCATCCATAATTAATTTGGTCATCAGAGTATTATGCCAAATGTTTTGTTGAAGATGTATTTCACCACATCCTTACTAAGTTAGTAATCATTTTTTTTAAAAAAATAAACAAGATAAATTTAATCTAATAAGAACCTGTTATTGACAAATGCGTCTTCTAACAATCATGCATTTTTCAAGACATGTACAAACTGATCTTCATGATCTATTCTAGAATCTTCTCCAGCATTGGTGTCAGACTGACTGATCTATAGTTCTCTGGGTTCTCCGTGTTTTCTTTTGTATTGCTATTATCAATAGATCCCTTCATTCACCAAAATTTCTCAAATATGTACAAAAGTTCCAGTATATACAATCAGCAATTTTTCCCCCCACAATTTAGCATGTTATTTCTGCCCAGGGATAGTAAATGAAGTCAAGAAATAAACACAGTATAATATATATAATTTTAATATATATATAAAACCAATTGTTCATTACTAAATTCATGATACTTATTAAAGTTAGGAAAACCATCTATTGTATTAAAACACATATATTGCCTAATTTGCTTATCACTATTTTAATTAGAACAGTTTTATAGTTTTTTATCTTTAAAATAACAGGTAATTTTAATATTTGCATTTAGATTTTGCATATTCATAACTGCATTTCCTTTTCATCTATATTCTTTTTAAAAAAAATCACAACAGAATGTATATTTTATAATCTGCATGATTAAATCAAAGAAGCATTTATATAATAAAGACTTATCTATAAAGCTTCAAAAACAAATCTTTTCTTTCTTTTGCATAATATACGGAAGCTGTCTTACCTGTGTGGCTTTATCCCTCATACAAGGTGTGACTTGCCCATGATTATCACGAGGCCATTGCCCAGCAAGATACGGTGCAGCAAGTATGTCTAGTGAAGGGGTACGGCGGGAAATACTAGAAGGGCTTGATGATGGTGGCCGTGGTTTATCTACTTGGAGACATACATATGACTCCATCAGCAAAAATAATACATATTACAGATTTCATTAAATCCATTATATTTTTGTTACTTTGTAAAAAATAAATGCCTTTACAGTATATTAGCATATATTTTTCTTTACAATTTTTCAGGTATCCTATGCTAAAACAACATAGTCATAGATTACTAAAATGTAGACTATACACAAATGCATGAAGTGCACAATGAACAATAGGGAGTACATATCTGAGTCCAGAACTACCATTAATCTAGCATGAGGTGGCCTTGGGCAGCTGCCAAGGCCACAGCAAACTAGCAGAGCTCATCCCTAATGCTTACAAATCCTTTATTTTTTCCTAGTTCAGTACTCCCAATGTAGTAAGTAAATAAAGATGTATTTTCAATTTTCTACAATAATCCTAACGAAAGTCTCCAAGAGGCATTATGGGAAATTAATTCAGTGCCTAATGGTTGTTGTCTATTTATTAGAGGCATGTCAAACTGCCCGCCTGTGGGCTGATGCGTCACACTGAAACCGCACCCACCCCATTGCCGACAATGGGGGGAAAATCGCAATATGTAACACGATGTCAGGAGTTTGACATTCCTGGTCTATTAGGTACGTTTTCTAAGCTTCCAAAGGCACTTTTCCTAAGAATTACTCAAACCTGGAACTGTCCCTTGTTGACTTTATTTTTTTTAACATATATAATTCCATGCATTTTTGAGCACCAAGACAAATTTAGTAAGCATTTGCTAAAATTTATACATATATAAATTAGTAGGAGATAATAATTTAGAGAACATAACTATAGCAACAATCAGGAGGGGGAAACACTTTTACAGTAATGCAATTTAAAATTATTTTTGTTAGTGTCAAATAGCATTTCAATTTATACTACAAGGTGTTAGCCATTGGGTCATCCTTTCAGAGATATTTTCATACCTAAACAGAGAAACAGAATGATCACCTATTCTTTTGGTTTTAAAATTAAAGAAGAAAACATCATTTTATTAAAGAAGGATGCATAGCAGGCAAATATAGATGCTTTTCATTTAATAAAGGATGCTTTTAATGAAACATTTGTGGCTGATCTGCCATTCTTTAAGAATACTATAATGTTTTCACTTCTTTTTCCTTGGCTTAAAGCAGTATACAGCTGACCAAGCTGAAATACCAGTTTCTTCAGATAAATCAGCACATTTTCCATTGTCCTTAGGCTTTATATATACTGAAAGCAAAGCATGGCTGTACTGGGAACTGGGTCCACTGAAGAGTGATATCTTCACCTGATAAATTGAGCGAAATTCTTGGAATAATGATATTTTGAACACACTACAAGAAATTCTTGGGGAGTTCTTCTAAGATCTTCCACATTGCATTACAAAGCCTTGGAAGATTGAAGTTCCTCATTAAAGTGATGGGAGATTCTATCTTCAATTCCATTTATGTCGTGACAATCCAGAGTTCAATGTATCAAGAAATTTTGCTGGAGAATGAGCAGAGTTTGTTTTTTCACTGACAGCATTTAAAGAACAATATTTTTCATCATTCCAGGAAAGTATTTAAGGCATGTGAAATGTATTTTTCTCATCATTTCATTTAAGGGAATTAAGATATTTGAGAACAATTCTGCAGGATTGTTGAATGTTGGGTAGATGAAATTTGCAGTCTAGTTTACACTTCTATTTCATCTTCATTTTTCTGAATTTTGTCTTCAGTAATATTCAATAAGAATTCAGAATATCTTTCTTCTTTTTTACCCACCCACATGTTGCATTTTAACTGAAACTTCACAAAACTTCTCCATAAGTATGATTTTTTTGATGCATGAATAATTCATATTAACATCATTTTCTCTTTTCATAACTAGTAGAAGCTTGTAGAAATCACCACAGCAAATGGTTAAAATTCCTCCAAAGGACTCATTCTTGCCACATATAACTTAAAGAGTACAGCTTTAAAACCCTCCCTCCTAATCATTGGATTCTCATCCCAGAAAATAAGCATGATGAAGCAAATCTGCAGTACTGGAAGGGTTTTTCTTTCAATATTTACTATTTTATTCACTATGAGGGGTATGTTGATTCTTAAATACACTGTCCCACACCAGATATCAAAATTGATGCAATACCAGATGATGCTACAGCAAGAGTAACATCTCCATCTCCCCTAGCTTTAGCAAGGATCAAATTGGTGACAAATGTATTTTCTTTACCCCTGGTGCGTCAATGAAAATTATTGAAAAAAGGTTGCTTTGCAAGTAGTTACATGCACAGTTGCTCAATATTCAATAGGGGCTCATTGTGTAGTACAAATTCCTGCTGTCTGTTGTACTACACTTCACTTCAATAAGCCAGATTACCAAATCTGGATTAAATGTATCATTTGTTGGTTTTAGCAAATTATAATCTTCAGGAGTTTTTTCAAATTTCACAAGTTTGTCTTAGAAATACAGAAGAACATGTTCACAATGCCTCTCACTGATCATGATATTAGGATCACTGATAGTTCTCTTGATTTGTAGGAAATCTTCAGACTTCTTGAACCGGTTCCACAATTGTCATGGGATTGTTGATTTCAATGTTTGTTAACAAGACAACAAACAAATTTCTCATTGCTCTGGGGATTCTTGTTATTTTGGCATCTTCCACGGTTTGCTGCAAATGATCATCAACTTGCAACAAAATCCTTTCTCTTTCCAGACATCTTTGAATAATGGAACGATGTGTCCATTTTGGAACCTCTTACTGCATGTACCATTTTCCCAACACGCTGATTTTTTTTGCTGCAATATGGATCCTTGGATCATGTGCTTCAATACCAATTTATGCAGATTTGGATCTGGTATTTCGGTTTGCACAAATGTACTGATGTTTTGGACTTGGATTCTTCATCAAGCTACGGCAGGTAGTGCAAATGAGGTAGATACCACTTTTGGTATTTCACACTTAGTACATAAGTGATACACCTACCAGGAACCATATTTTAAAGGTAGGTTTGTTGTAAATCTCTCTCTTTTTACAATTTAAAACAGAGATCTAAATCACTTGAAAAATCAATCCTGCTAGTACCACACTCGGATATCTAAGCTGAGCTACTGAATGATGCACATAGTCCTGCAGATTTATTTGCTAACATTCAATTGCTTACGCAATATACATATAAAAATTTATTCATACAATTTTAAAAGAAGTATTTATTTTGAATCAGCATTAATTAATTATAGCAATACAATCAAAGCCACTGTTTCTGAACATATTTGTTAAAAAATCCACCATAAAACTGAAAAAAACTCTGATATACAGAGACCTGATTTAGACATATACAAGAAGACAATTAGTATTTCCCCATTTCATCCAGTTTCTTCTGAAACTGAAATTCGTATTGGGTTTGTAAAATAAATCCTTGCTTCAACAATGTATGTTTTTGAGACTTCCAACTGTTATATGCTTTTGTGTATGTACTGAATCCCATCTGCTATTTTGCACATACACAAAACACACAAGTGTAAAATTTCATTTGGATTCAACAGATGTTCAGATTTAATGAAATGCCCACCACATTAAGCCATTAAAGGGAAGGTATATATAGAAGGTCAACTTAGAAACATAAAAGCATAGCAGAAATTTATTGTGTGGTTTCAAATTACAGACACACAGCTTGTCACATAATACTTCAGACAACTGTAACTAAACTGATAATTTGTCATTATTTTATAACCTTGAGGCTTGTTTACTCAATTTATTACATAGTATCCAGAAATATTTTACCCTTCTGTACCAGTAGTTGTCCATCTTGACTGATTCTTAATTCCAGATACAAAGATGTATTAATTAAGTAAATGCCAAAATATATGAGCAGTTTCAAGACTGCAAATATCAAGCTCTATTTAATTAGGGCTACCAGATCTGAACTGCAAAAGTCCAAATACCCTTTAAAACAGGAGTCCCCAACACCTGGTCCGTGGACCAGTACTAGGCCGTGGCATGCCAGCAACCGGTCCGCACAAATAACCAAAGACCCATCCGCGGAATGCAGGCAGCACACAAAACCACGTCCCCTCTGGTCTGCAAAAAAACCTCTCTCCACAGAACCGGTCCCTGGTGCCCAAACGGTTGGGAACCTCTGCTTTAGAAGGCAACAATTTCTTTGCTTTTTTAGCAGGGAGGGGGGGGGGTATCTCAATGTTTGTTACCTAGATATGGTAGTCCTATACTTAATTCTACCAACAAAGTATTTTAAAACTTTTTTTCTGAATCCATTTTCTTTCATATAATTTTCTTGTCTGAAAATATTTCATAAAATACAATCTATCCCCATGTAGTATTTTCATTATCATTTCACCTTAGTTCTGCTATTCATACCCTCCCCCACAACTGCCCAGCTGCTAGCTTCACACGATGTGACCTACATAACAAGAGATATTCTTGCTTCAAGATAGCAGTTACAACAGCTGGGCTGATGAGAACAGTAGTGGCATTTGAGCAATGCCTTCATTTTATTGGACCAAATTACACTATGCTCAATTGCTACAAAACTATTCAGTGTTTCCTCAGTTTGATGATCTCCTCTCCAAGTATGAGTATAAAATCTTCTGTAACAAACACACAATATTCATGTACTATACAGATAAATATATATAGATTAAACATTTTCAGAGGTATTAAAAACCAGAATTCATGTTAGTTCCCTACACAAAATTCCTGAATATTTTTCAGTTGGACTTGCTTCACTACAGAAAAAAAAATCTATGGTAAAAATTCATTGACATCCTGTATGAACTAAAAATTAAGCAGTATCAGCAAATAAAATGGCTTGCTTAATGTGTGTTTCATTGCAACTCAATATAGTCTTTAAATTATACTCAAATATTAAAAATGCAGTGGAAATCAATTACTGATTCATCTAGGAAAAACAAATGCATCTTTATAATTTAATTTTGGTTAACTAATATAATACAACCAGGCTCGTTAAAATACATAAAATTATTTCTCAGCTAATTATTTCT